AATAAACTGTACTCAAGAATTTTTGAAAATGAACTGAAGGAGCTTTTTACTATCAAAACTTCGGTTTTGACTTTTTTCATAATTATTGCATTTCGCAGATTTTTCACAAGATCGGGTTCTACCCTAACCGCATTTCCAAAAATGAGTAATTTCAATATTTAAGATGAGGATATCCTTACGGCAACAAAAGGCAGAAAATTGACATTGAATTTCTTCAATTTAACCTCTGACGAAGGGGTGAATTTTCATCAGATGAATCAGGACTTTTCAAATAAAATCTGCACATTTTTCTTTTTAAAAAATGCAATGGTTCTCGATTTTTAAAGAAATTCAAAATAATCCTCATCGATTTTAAAAATATATTTCTGGGGATTTATTCGGTGCATCTGCAGAGATATGAAAGTTTTTAGTCACTTCGGATGAAAAAATTAATCCAGTTTCAAAAATTACTTTAAAAGCCCAATTCAGGTTCCTCAGTTCGTTGATTATAAAATCTCTCATTATCAGAAAAAAATTGCGAAGAAAATTAAATAAATCCCGCTCATACATTACTCATGGAATTGAAAAAAAAAATAATTTCCGAACTATTCGTCTTGAAATTGTGGAAATAATAGAAAAATCTAGTTACAGTTCCGTACAATATATTAAAAAATAAGGCAAAACCGAAGTTCTGATCGTAAAAAGCTCCTATATATTTTCGAAAATTTGCGAGTACAGCTAGTGTATTTGAAAATTCTTCGGCAACGATTATAAGTCTGAAATCGTCTGCATTCGTTTCATTCAATTTTGTCGAATTGAAGAATAAGCTATTAATGGTTTAATTACAAAATTTGAATCCAATCCAGAGCTTTCGTTCTCCAATATCATTAGTTTGAAGAAGAGAAAAGAGGCAGGGAAGTATAGAAAACCCACTTGTATTTGAAAATTCGCATTATCCAAATTTTCAATTTGTTCTATGTTTCAAATTCCAAGGAAAATGCTTCCGCTTAGAAACTCGAAATTGGTTTTAAACGATCATACGTAAAATCAGAAGTTTCATGTGTCTGAGACATTCAAATCAAATTCAACGCTTCAATCAAGTGTGCAGTTTCATGATACTAGTGAGTTCTCACAGGTGTTTTACTTGTGTCACCAAAATGGAGCTCATGAGACCTTCCGGTGTCAAAATGGAACCATATTCACGGGATCAGTGCTGGTGTGCAATTGGTGGTACGCGACGGGTTGTGGCAGTGGAGCGACACCTGTACAAGGAGGAGAAGTAGGTACAAGAGGCCCTGATCCATTCGTACCAGTTGTCGCTGCTTTCGATCTTACACCAATTCATCACATGACAGGCATGGGAGTACAAGGGGGATTCAATCATCCAGGTATCTTACCACTGATTCATTTCCAAATTGTGAAAAAAAATTGACTGAAATATAATTTCAGGAGTGGAACAGGAGAATTTTATTCCCGAATCTGCAGCCCAGACAATTGACCCAAATAAGAAAAGTATTGTCAGAAAATTTGTTACAGCTCCAGCACAACATCATTCTGTGAATGCACCCAGCAACAATAATGTACCTCCAAACCAACAAGGGAAACGTTCCCATAAGAATTCAGTCCTCAGACTGAAAAAGTTACCACAAGATCAACTTCAGCATCTGACCACTCAACTCCCAGTGCCACAGTTGTTACAGTCAGCAAATCAAGTCATTGCACCAACCCCAGCTTCATTCACAGATGTGCAGATCTCAGGAAAAATCAGGATTCCAGTGTCACCAGAGAAACTGTTCTCTGGCACTCACTTATTCCAGGAATTTCACTTCAAACAAACTAGTAATTCTACTGCTGATGTGCAAATTCAGGGCAATGAGATAGCAAGTCACTCTCAGCAAGTACAAAAAGCAGAAAATCTCAAGCAGGAAAGTCAAGGTGCAGTCACAGAGAATGTTGTGAGGAAATTCAACCTCATGGGTCCTGATTTGGAAATGCTGGAGAGATTCTTCCAAAATGTGAGTAGCCAATATTTTTTGTGTGACAAACATTTATCAAATACCACTACTGGAACTTCTTTGTAAAAATATTTTTGAACATTTTGCCCAGGACTGAGAATTTAATGTAGTCATAATTTTGAATACCTGAGTTGAATTTATAAAACCAGAAAGATATAAGTAACATTGCATTCACTGGCATAAAAATTAGATAAAAAATCCATCATGAAAATATTTTCAGAGGCCTTTTCCAAAATTCTGAAAACAGAAATTCAGATTCAGTCCAAAAATCCATTGTTTGTGCATTTTTCCAGTTTTCATTAAACTAAAATATTGGAATCTCTTTCATTCATATCAAAATTAGTTCTGCAAAAAAGAACTGGACAAAATATAAAACATGAGAATATATTACAATGCTGAAGATTTAAAAAAAAAAATTGGACCTCAATTTTGTTTGAAAATTTCTTGATTCAGTAACCAATGAAAGACTTGGGTTTGAATATCCAGTAAAAAAAATTTCAAAATTACGTTAGAATATCCACATGCCTAATACAGTAATACACATTTATTTAATTTTTCTTGGTGTTCAGGAGTTTCTGCAAAAAGATTCCCATCACATATACTTTACAGGTGGACTCTCACTAAAACAATATTCTCTTTCTCTGCATAAAAATCTGATTTTGGTCCAATTGCAGGTTCTCTCCCCATAACAATTCATTTTTCTGATCCCTTGAATTTTGTTGTAGGGACAGGGTCCACCCGCATTATAAAAATTTTGAGAGTGATCCCCTAACACACTTTCACATTCTTACATCCAATTATAAGATTCATTTCTTGCTTTTCAGGCATCTCAACCTCAAGCTTTGATTGACCAAGTGCAACCCCATCAACATCAGTCATCAGAAAAAAATTCTACCAATGCCCCAACTCAAAACAGACAGCATCAATTGCAAACTAACCCATCAACATCCAACCATGCGCAGGGCCCAGATAAGGGCTCCTGACTGGAGCAAGAACTTCTCTCAAGCAGCTATGGAACCAACTGTGCTGCTCCTTCCCTTTGTCCATTTCACTCTGTTCTTTTGGCAACACTGGTCTTCAGTGTGAATCCAACAAACATTTCCTTGCTTTAATGTTCACCATGCTTTTTCCTCTTTTCTTAAGGCATTTTGGAAGCAACCTCTCATTTTCTCATTCGGGGTGCTAAATGAAAAAATTATTTTAAACATCTCTCAAGACATGCACTGAATTTAAAACCATCATTCTATACTACACCTTGATTCATTCTATACCTTTTCAGCAAGGTGGATTTGAAATTTTCAAATGTAATTAAAAAATACAATTTGAAACACTTAGAATTCAAAAATTCTGAAAGAAGTTACCAGGAGACTAAACAATGCTGGGGTTCAAAGGGTTTTGTCCTCCTTTGCTTAGAGTGAAAATGTAAAGTTGGATTTCTTGTTCATTCCTAGCCACTAAATATTTATTTTGGAGGCATGAACTGAAATACCAAATTACTTCTTGTTTTCCTCTACTAGTTCTAAGCTTCTAAAACACAAAAGCTTTCAACTGTAAAAACTGTGCTTCAAACGCAATGAGACAAGAAGTTTCACTGCACGCAAAATGTGAATATTTCCAGAAAAGTTACCAGGAAATCAATGAAAGAAAACAATGCTTTGATCAAAAAAGACATAGTTTGTATTTATAATTAAAAATCATTGAATGGAATATGCACCAATGGTTTTTGTAGATATTGAAAATATCAAATTTACACAGAAAAATGTTCACAATGCACAAAATGTGAATACAAGTGACAAAAGTTACCATCATGTACGTGACCAACGGAAAGAAACAATGCTTGGATTTGAAAATACTGTATACATATTCCGTATATTTCGGCTAGAAAATATTGAATGGAATAAAAACAATATTTTGCTAAGGCTTTTTTTCCTGAATTTTTTACGATTTGAAATTTCCTGCACTAAATGTGAATAATCCAGGGCAAATTTCAAACAATATCTGCTGTACTTGATTGAGGCAAAAATTGAGCTGAATTGAAGCAAAACTGGCGTTATTTTTCTCCTAGAATAAGGTAAAATTTTGCGCGGAAAGGCTGAAAGCGCTCATCATTGAAACAAAATCAGTTATGACAAAGTCAAATATTGCAAGACAAGTCTTGCAATGATACCAGTTTGTTAACTGAAAAAAAAAGGTTTCAATTATTCAATATAAAATTATTAAAATGCATAGAAAAGTTTTTATTCGGATTATTCCACGTAGCCATTAATCTTGATGCCCACTGAGCTCAAGTGCCCCGCAAGAAGTTAGATATTCAACTTTTTCGCAGAAGGCACGGAGTTCAACATTCTGTAAAAATTTATTTTTTCATCAGTCCCGTATCACAAAAATTGAATCGTTCTAGCATTCGGCTACTCACATGAGAGATTGGCTTCACCAGACATTTGGCATACCATGGAAGAAACGCCATCCTGCTTCAATCGATTCGTCAACTTGAAAATGAAGAAATGTGTTGATTTCCGTTAACAACAGGAATATCGCGTACCGCGTACCACAAATGACACTTGAAACTGATTCTGAAAATCACTGTCCTGCTGCTGCGCGACCTGTAGAAATTATAAATAAACCTGCACAGTCTTTAATAAAAGGTCGCAAACGTGGAAACCTGTTTTGCTCGAAACAACATAGAATTCATTCATGAACCTAATAAGAAAATGAAAATTCTAAAAATATTTTTCTAGTTCTTGGCAACCTTGTGACGTGAATAGAAGACATTTGAACCTTTCGAAGTCAAATTTGAAGCTACTTCAACAAACGACATGGAATACATCATAGAACTATTTCAATAATTCACAAGGTTGCCAAAATTGCCGAAAAAAATAGTTTACGTCATTCATCCATTTAATTTAGAGAAACACGAACCTTATCACGAACAACGAACCGGACGGTTTCGAGTTCGTTGTTAGAGACACCACTGCGAAGATAAAAGATGGAAGACGAATCACCTCACATGATTCCAATAATCAAACTTTATCTTTCCCAACGATTTCCCAGAAAAATGAGGCTTGAGAAAGATTCAAAACGCGAAATAGAAAGCAAAAAACACTTCGAACAACCTCAAGATGAGGCTCGTGTAAAAAATAATTGCCCAAAACAATTTTAATCACAGGTGAAAGGCGGTTCGAGTACTCGCTGCACAAGAACAATTTCGTTTCTTTTTTGTTCCTTTAGATATTTTAAACAAAATAAACAAGCTCCTTGAGGAATGTCTTTCTTTCTTCCTAATCTTCCCACGTCCCTTTAGGTAAAAACGCGAGAAATCACAAAATGTGATACAAATTGCTCAAACAACACAAGGACAATTGGACGAAATTTAACAAAATCACAACCTCAGTGCCTACACATCTTTTCTAGCTTCGTGAATTGAAAATCGGAGTATTTCAAAAATTAATTTTTGAATTGAATCATAGAAGAAATGCTGTATTTACTACCAGAAATGCGTAATTTTTTCAAACAAATTATGCAGTCAAATCTTTTCCACGGATGATTTCACCACAGTTTTACTTTAAAACATGCATCCAAATTGTGGGCATGCATTCTTTCAAAAGAAAACCTGGATGTACAAATTTACTTAGAAATGAATATTATTACATCCTCGACTCTTCAAAAGAGGATATGCGAACCATTTGGATTAGATTATACAAGTAAGAAGCGAGCAAAGACAGCAACCGATTTTTTTTTTGAGCACCCGAAAGGATAAAGAAGCGTATTCTTGAGTGAAAAGGATACGCATCTGTTACGAACACTCACCTAATACTAGGGAAAGTGCTCTCAAATCGACCATTCAAATAAAATACCACCAATCGAAAAGCTCAGTTGAAAAAAAAAAAGTTTTGAATATCGATAGAAGAAAAAAGTCTTATCGCAGTTGATGAAAATAATCAGTCCTTAGCTTCTTCCTTCGCCTGGCTCCTCAAACAATAGGCAGTGTGCATGGACCATATGCTCAGGGGACGCATGTAGCCCGGAGCCCTGTAGTACTTGTCAGCTGTCAGCGCTTCTGGCGTCTGGAAACCCAGTCCACTCTTGTCGTACACCGTCGTATAAATACCCTTGGCTGTTTGAAAAGCTTCCCGATCCATTCCCTGCAAATGCGTCCGTGATTAATATGAGTACCATGCGCCCAAGAGTAAAGACATTCATCTTAGTTTTTTCAAGCCAACATTTTGGAACAAATTCCATACCCGGAAAAGACGCACACCTTCGTTTTCCAGATACCAAATTCAACACTTTAAAGCTGCATGGAGTAAAAAGGCGAATACAGGCACAATTAAACGTTGAAGTGCTTCTCTTGTGCACATCATTACAGAGAACATCAAAAGACGATTTCAATAGGGGAAAAAAGTTCCAAAAATTCACTGAAAAATGTGTACCGAAGGTTTCAGAACCCAGTTCGTAGAAAAAAATAAGAACAATCACAAGCATGGTTACTCAGTCCAGAATTTTGGAAGTAAAATTCCTGGGAACCTGGAATCGATCAATCATTCCACGAAAATCCATTCCACAATCAGATAATCATTCCAATTGCTTCACAGAACAAATCTATTCATTGCACTACAGTAAGCAGCGTTTCCTTTTTCATAGTTTCCAAATTTTACAGCCAGTCTCGTGTAGACTAATAAATACTGTATTTGCGTCATTCTTAAATTCCAGGGTGACCTAACCCGAATGTTCTTCAAGTTGATGAAGCGGAATTCATCGCACTCACATAAAGGAGCATAATCGACGCCAAAGCATAATTCACGCCAGTCCACGTTTCTTCAGCCTGAGCTGCTGTGATGTCCGGCCGGCCCGAGACTGGCGAGAACCCATTAACGGCACCCATTTCCCCACCCATCCATTTTTCCACATTGTTTTCAAAAACTGTCTTCAGAATGCTCGCGATTCTGCTCCGGTTCAGCGCCTGTCAAATAGGACAAGACAAGAAAGATAACATCACATCTTCGCAAGAACAAGAGCATAAAAAAATGCACAAACCGGACTCAGCGGTGCTTCGATCGCAACCGAAGCGCGATCCCATGACTCGAGACCAATGAGCAAAGACCACAGTCCCGACAGCTGGTCAGCAATAATTGTGCGTCTCCGATCACCACTCGAAGAGTCAAAGTCGTAGTATGACCCTGAGTAGGTTTCACAAACACATACCGTATCAGTGAGACACCCGACATAAGCACGCTCCGACTTAGGGACACTAAACAAGTCAATAAATACCGACCCGAGATAAAAAAAAAATTATTAAACGGACACTTTCCAAAATCTCTAGAAAAAAATGAGAAATTCAATTTTTCAACACTTTGATACCTCCTGGACAAATGGAACTCCAGAATTTATAGTCACGTGAATTTAAAATAGATTTCATAACAAAATTACTCTGTCATATCTGAAAAAAACGAAACTAATTTGGGCTTCTTTTTTTTTGTTTCCTCCATCATCTGTGCACAGTTTAGGTGGACTTGTCATTGTTTTCTGCTTCTTGAGCTCCTTTTGATGCCAAAATATCAGATTCTGTGTGGGTTTCTTCAACAGTTATTTCTGTATGCTGAAGTTGGGGAATGAATTTATGCTACATTTTTTGGGGGCTTTATTCCTAAATCAACAGGAGAACCAATTAAATAGGTTTGCATTCAAGTTTACAGGAAAACATGATCTAACATGCTAACATTCCAATACAGGAACAAGATCCAAGCACCAATTGTGTCCGTATCTTGGGGCCCCACTGTACATAGGGCCAGGGGGCCCAACTTATGGAAAATTTGACTAAGGTACATTTAAAACTTAAAAAAAAAAATTGCCAAAATATCTGGAGATACAGATACTTTCCTAACACTTTTTTTAATTTTCGAAGTCTACAAGAAAACGTGATCCAACGTGTGGACGCTCCAACACAGGGACAAGCATCAATTACGTCCGCATCTCGGGTCCCCAATTGCACATATTTCCAACAACAAATCAGTACCAAAAATTGTTTGCGTCACACTCACCATTCCACAACTGCGCATCCAACGCTCCCACGGCCTTGCTCATCAGGGCAGCATACTTGCTCGATTCTTCTTCATCCCCAATCACACCTGCCATCTTCCACATGGAAAACAGACTGCAAACCCACAAAATGCCGCAATACGCACTCGGACCATCCATGACCCACATGTCATAGGTCTGGTCCGGATGATGCGGGTCATTCTCAATCATGCCGTCTTTGTCCTTGTCCCAGTGGTCCTCGGCTTTCCGCATCACAGACAGACACATGGGCCAGACTTTGGCCAGGAACCAGGCCTGATTCGGGCCTTGCTCGAGACTCGGGAAACATGTCGAGTAGGCCCGGTACGATTCCAGTACAAATTTAAGGTTCAGGTCCTTCCACTCCGCCGTGTTGTGACTCAGGTACGCGTTCGTCTTCTCCCATGGACTTTCGCCTGTTGATGAGAAAAAAATAAGAGAGATGATTACAGTGGGACCCCGACACACGGACGATTCGACAAGGGTACACTTGAAAAAAAAATCTATCAAAACATCGGGACATAGTCTCGAGATACAGACACTTTTCCACAACTTCTAGATAAATAAAAAATATTCTCAATTTTTACATATCTTGAAGAAATTGAGCTGAAGTAAAATCCGGTTACAACAAACTCGCAGGGACTTGAGAAAAAATGTGTTTCACTTTATAATTCTTTATTACGAGATTTTCAAAATAAATTACTGTACAGGAAAATAATTCAAAATAGACCGGCATATACTGCAGCTATGTTCACAAAATTGAAGATCAATTTCATCACAAAATTACTCTACTCCAATTCATAATAAAGAACAGGCTCAATTCGTGCTTCTTTTTTCATCATGTATGCACAGTATAGCTGGACTTTTTTTTGAGCACCTCCTGATACCAAAAGATCAGCTTTGGTGTGGTTTTCTTCTGCAAAGTTATTTTCTCTACTTCAAAGTTGAGAAAAATATTCTTATTCAATTTTTGGGGACTTAATTCCTGATTTCTAACAACCAGTTGAACCAATTAAATACCCTGTATTTACTCAAGTACCACATGCACCTTTTTTCTCAAATTTCAGAATAAAAACAGGGGTGCGCGTCATAAGCAGGTACAAATTTTTCAAGAAGTTTTAGGAAGTTATGTGAGCATTATACTAAATTATAAGGGAGAAATTTGGAAAACAATAAAACTTTTTTGTACAGAAAAAGTTGAAAATTGATCAGATTTTTGTTCAATTCATGTCTAAAGTCAATTTTTTGTTTTTATTTTCAAAATTTTGTGGTTTTAGATTCACTAAAAATTGGGGTGCGCGTCTTACTCGGGGATAAGATTTTAGCCAAATTTCCAACTGAAAAACCCCTGTGCGCGCCTTACTTGAGGGTGCGTGGTACTTGAGTAAATACGGTATGTTCCTATTCAAGTCTATGGAAAAACGTGATCTGACATAGGGACAACGTCCAAGCACCAATTTCGTCCACATCTCGGGGCCCCACTTTACTCTTTGATACATTTGGCACAAGGTCTATGAACTCATGACTAAAAACTGAGGACTACAGAGCTGCTGAATTTTCAGCAGTACTCACCGGGACAACCCAAATCGTGCGGGACGGAGTTGACGTACTTGCGTTGAAGTCGACCACCACTGGAGTGGTACCAAACAACTGACTTGTCTTGAACAGGCACAGCTTCCGCCACATCCACCATCATGGAGAGCTCCAAGCCGGGCCAGAGCTGGCCAAATGAAGCGGATGCGTAGAAGTGCACATCGACGGTGTTGTACATGATGTACTCGTGGCTCTCCAGGTAAACGAATCGACCAAACTCTTTCCTGTAACAAAATAATTCGAAAATAGAATGCCAGTCGAAAAAAAAATGCAGGAAGAATCACTGAAATTTTCTCACAAGGGTGGCAAAAGCAATCAAAAGCAATTTTCTCTATAAAAAGAATTTTTTGTTGGTTTCATTGGATTCTCTCCTCATGTTCTAGGAGTTCTCTACAACGAAATTCAAGGGACCAGAAAAAAAATTGCTGTATTGAGTCAACCTGTACAAGACATTTTTCTCCCTTCTGGATTTACGGAATCAAGTTTTACACGCAAAACGGAATAATACTCGAATTGATAGACGAGTTGGAAATACAGTCAAGCCTCAATTTAGCGCCACACTTGCAAATAACCACAAATCTTCCTCCATAGCGTCCTCGAGGAAAATCCCGATTTAAAGTCGGAAAAAAAAATCGTCATAGATGGAAAATTTGAAGAAGTCGCAAAAATTGAGGTATTTTCTGGGGATATCATGGGGTTATACCAAGAATTACATGCCCATGCTCACGCAAACACTCAAGATAGTTTCGAACATTGTACCTCTGGGTTTGCATTGTTGAGAAAGCTATTACATTGTCTTCTTTAGACATATCGAAATATTGCACGTCTGAGCTTCAAATTACAGTATCTCTTGTTGCTTCATCTCTTATAAAACAGAGTCAGTGGTCTAAAAATTCTGTGAACAAGCTCATTTTGTCCGAAGTAGAAACCCTTGACTAAAACTTCTCATCATAAACTTCCTTCGATCAAGTGCCACAAAATGTGCCAGGACGAACGATGGCACTAAATCGAGGTTAGACCGTAATTATTGCTTCCTCGCATTCACTTTTACAAACATATAAAAATAAAATGAATCAAGATGCCTCACCGTGGATCGCCATCTTCTAATTTCGATGTCATCTCCCGATCGCAGTCAACCCACACTGCGCCACCATCAGCCACATAATACAGTTCATTAAATAAAGCCGACTTGAACCAAGTAGGTAATTTTCTGAAGAATCAAAAATCAATTACAAGAAGCACAATCGCAGGAATCAACTCAGTTACTCGCTACTCACGGATCCTTCAGAATGGGATTCTGCCAAGCATCAATTTCGGACTCCCACTGCGCATAATTAGCGAGTGAATAGGTAATTATTTCCTTCGCAGAAGAGAACCATCGGACGTGTCGACGCGTGCAATTCGCATCGGCAGAGGCAAAAGGAAACTTCACACGTGGGTTATGCCATGCTACGGCCATTTCAATCGTCCGGAAACGGGTTTCCCGGCTCAAAGAGAATGCCAAAGAAACGGCACCACCTGAAAAATCGAAAAAAATTGTATCAGACTAAATCAAGACACGGAATTCGGCGGAATTTGGGATTTTCAAAATCGTAGCTTCGATAATACAGAGGGGGCTCCGAGATGCGGACGTAATTGGTGCTTTGACCTCGTCCTCATGTCGGAGTGGGCCATCCATTGACTCACATTATCACATGGACTTCAAAGGAAATATATTCGATTGGTTCTCCCATGATTTGAAATTAGGTATAAATTCTCCAAAAAATTGAATAACAATTCTTCTAAATACTGTACAGAAAATAACTGCAGAAGAAAACCATGCTGAATCTGATCTTTTGGCAAAGAATAAGAACAAAACAAGTCAAGCTTTACTATTCACACTCGAGGGAAGGAACTCTGAGGAAAAAGAAAAAAATTGGTTTTTCCCATGAACTAGGAATAATTTCAAATTATTTTTTGTGAATATAATTAGCTCAATTGCTGTACTTCGAGATATGAAAAAATGAAACGAAATTTCTTCATTTCGATTGTAGAGGGGTAGAAGTGTCCGCTACTTGAAACATTGTCCGTATGTCGGGGCATATTTTCAGAGTTTCAAGTGTCCCTTAGTCGAATCGTCCGCATGTCGGGGTCCCACCACGATTCGAATCATTGAATGGTCCCTCAGTTGAAAGGGCAGGAACTTCCCAGAAAACATTTTTCTCGCAACTGAACTGCGGTGGCACCGATTTAAATTTAAAGCAGAACAGTTGGAAGCTTTTTCACGGTTTATAAGTGTGTTGAATTTTACTTTCCCAGTATCCGCTATTCTTCTATATTTAAAAAATAGAACAATTTCACGGGCTCTCCACGCAAAACATTTCTGCAACCATTTGATGCCCAATTTCTTCACGCAATGCTCACCTCGTCCATTTTTAAATCCTTCGACACCGTTCAGTCCACCCTCCCATTCACATGGCAGACGACCATTCTTTTCCAGCGATGTCCAAACAACACCACCATTTCCATTGACATCGAAGTTCGGTAATAACGTCACCTCGTCTTTGTTCGTCGCCATCATTCCAATGGCATAG